TGTTTCAGAGACACAGTGTGAAACCGACAAAAAATATTTATATTTCTTGCAATCTTCTTGATTTCTTTGAGAATTTTTTATAAGTCGGCTCCTTAAAGAAATCTTTAAATTATGAAAAAGAAAAGTATTACTTCCAGATGTTTTTATACTAATAAGAATTGAAACAAACATTGACTTATATGTAAGTAGCGATTATCAAAAATTGTAGGTTGAAATTATTGAAGAATTCATGAAATTTTTCTAATAAATATAAGTTTTAGAATATAAGTAAGGTATGAATTGAATATAACTAAATGCTTGTAGAATTGCTGTAGAAATACTGCTTGCTTATGTAGAATCTAATTTATAAGTGCATGCATAGTAGTAGTGGTGCTAATAATTTTGGTGTTAAAAATGGTGGTATTATGATGGTGGTCGATAAAATAAATATGACTCTGTGTGAAAAATCTCCGCTTTTTCTTTTACTAAATTTTCCTAATTATCGATATTTTATACGTTTATTGTCAAATGAATATATAAAATATTGATACACGCATGAAATAATGTGTCTGTATTTCATATAGAGTTATATACGAGTAAGGTATAATTTAAATTTCATTTTCAGGTTTAGATTGTCGCGTCGGTTTCCTTTTAAAATTCCTTTTGCTGTTCGTTTTGCACAACGATCGACGATCGAACGTTTTGCAATTCTACGTCAAAAGGAAGATTTATCGTTGATTTTAAATAAATTTTTACGTAAAGGAGGGTGGATGGGATCGCGGATAGGGTGGGTCTCCAATTCGCAGCTACCTCCACGCGGTGAGACCTGGGAAATCATTATTATTTACTATACTATTCATAATCGTATCTATGATACAATTATAAATTTTATAGCAAATAATATGATCCGATTGGCTGCGCACGCGTTTATTTTATGTACTTATTGAGATTTATTAAGTTACAAGTAAGATCTTCGTGTTGACTTTTAAAAGTAATGGGATATCGTGTATTAGTTGTTAAATCAATTTATGTATTTTATCAATTTAATTTTGAGTAATGGCGATTTCTTTCTAATATTTTTTCTGTTATTTATTTGAAATATATTAAGCAATATCTTTTATAAATGTTTTTCTTTTTTTTCTAGAATTTAATTATTTTTTGCTTGTTCTTTAATAAGTTCTCCATATTTCTCTGGATATTCCACGATTTATAAACTTTAAAATAATCTGTAAGAAACATTCTTTCAAATATGACAGTTTTTGATTTAGAATTTATTTAGTTCTATTGGTTTTCCTTTTTTGTTGTTTTGTAAAGTATTCTGATTTCTTTAACTCTTTATACAGCGAGTCAGAAAACTCGATTAAATCTTTTTTTACATTTATGTTAAACCGCTTATTTCCATAAATTTTTCATGAATTTTATATTACGTTAATTTGAATGCTTTCACATATTCATTTGCTTCTATTTTAAATTTTATCAGCGCAGAATTTTCTCTTAGCTGCATATTTGGCAATACTGAAATTCCGCGCAACAGCAATCTTTGTTCTATTTTAGTTTTTGTTTGGTCTTGCTTAAATTTGACTGTGATGTAAAATTCTCTTGTGTAATTATTTGAATATATTCGCTGCAACAGTGGATACACTTTCAATATCAGGTATGTTTCTTCTGCTAGTTTTTTGATATTTATTCTAAGAAACTTAAAAACTCACTTATTTTTCGTTTAATATTAGTTTAGATTAGTTATTCATTTTAATCGTTCTTTCCCTCTTTTTTTTCTTTCTTCTTTTTTTTTCTATTTACTGTATTTTCAATTAAATATTGTTTACGCATATCCATACTAAATTTTTTTCTTTTTTCCTTTATGCGATCGAAAATAAATAGAAAAATTCATATTAAGAATTAAAACGTGAACAGACTATCGGCCGAGTTGATTTTATAAGAATATAATGGTGCCATCTGTTAAATATAATATAGGCATCATCTGTGATGTACCTGTGATATTTTATTGTGCTGAGTCGGTATTATTGAAAATGATATGAAGATGGTAACAGAATTTTGAAGTTCTTCGGTAGGATACGTCAGTAGGAAATACGCGGTGCTCAGTATGAAATTCATTTATTACAACTGTGTGTTAATACAACTTGTTATACAGTGCATATCAATTTAAAGTATTCTATGTTACTTTTGAGTTTATTAGATTTTGAGAAAATAGGTACGTTAAATTCAATGATTTTCTATTTAAAGACTCTTCGTTTCGGTGAATCAATAATTATATTATCCAATATAACATTTAAATATAATAAATTATAATTCATTATTAATTCTCTTTATATTTTATTTCTTGTTTATGTAATGTTCAAATACAGGCATTAAGGAATTACGTACAGTATTTACTAAAACGTTCTATTTACTGGTAGTGTGAAATTCGTCATTGCGGATAGTACAGATTTAAACGTAAGTTAATCTCTATTTAAATTAATCTTAATTTTGTTTAATTTCAGTTGCATAAAAAGAATTCGTAATAATGTTTGAATGGGCATATGATGGTGTTAATGTCTCTATACCACGTAATGTAGGACCAGAATGTGCATATTATTTAAGTTTAAAACAAAGAATTATTGAAACATTATTTATATCAATATTCATAATAAGTTTTCTAGTATGGGGTTACAAAAGAATCAAATTACCATCTAAAGTATCATATGTAAATCAAGATTGTGTTGGTAGAAGGATTTTATTAATCATTATGTCATTAGTATTAGGAATGGAAATTGGATTTAAGTTTACCAGTAGAACAGTTATATATATATTGAATCCTTGTCATATAACATCAGCAGTACAGGTAAAATAAATAAAAGTGATAAAATTTGAATAAGAAATATATATATTTTATTTATGCTGATATAATTAATTATTATCTTTTTTATGCTATAGTTATATTTATTGGCAGCAAATCCTAGTCCTACGGTCACAGCTATCTTTAGGATACATTTAAACTTCTTAAATGGACCATTTTTAGCATATTTATTTCCAGAAACAGAATCTCGCAGAGTAAATCATTTTTTATTACTAAGAAACATTTTTTAATATTTTTTGGTATAAATTTATATTGATATAATTGTTTCAGATATTTGCAGATAAAGCATTATACTACATTCAACATGGATTAATGGTGGTAATACCATATTATCTGTTGAGAATTGGAGGTAATTGCAAATTATTTTGAATATTAATCTTTTATTTCATTTTATATATATTTATTCATTTAATATATTCATTTAATATATATTTTATCCTTACTTTTTTCCTTAGGTGTTTATAATATCGAACCTCTATCAGACATGAGTTGGTGTATATTTAGTTATGGAATAAATTTAGCTTATCATTTTTGGATTATCCAACCTATTGCATTGGTATGTGTTACTATATAACGTTTTTTATTTTTATTTATATTTATACAACAATTTTTATTTATATTTATTTTCTATTTCATTTCTAATTCTAATATTTCATTTTTTAGCCCACACAAGTAAATCTTAGTCATATGTTATGTGCTGCTATTTTAGACCCATTTGAAGGACAAAATTATCGAATGTGGACATTTATTCATCAAGGATTACTATGTCCATTATTATGTAAGCTATTTTGTTATATATCTGATTTTTTCTTAACAAAGTTTTCATTGACTAAAGTAAAACCAACGCTTGAATGTGTATTTCCAACAAAAAACAATTGTGATGATAATGAGAAATTATATGAAGATACCTCAGGGAATGGACATACGCATGTAAACTAGAATAATATTTCGTAATATTGATGAATTATTATATGAATATTATTCTGCTGCAATTCAATTTGATTCAAAAACATATATAAGTTTATATGTCAATAACTAAATGAACACAAACTGATTTGTGTTTATTATATATGCATTCATAATATATAGTTATAATCTGTAACAATTACAGATTTTTTTTTAATAATCAATTCTGTAATTATTTTTCACATTGTATATGTGAATACATTGAATAGAAACAGTGTAGAGCAAACTATAATAGTAATTAGGGATTTATAAATTTCAAATAAATACGTAATGAATATCATAAATTTTAAATAGGTCCTACTATTGTGCTATATAGCACATTTTTTTTCATTTAGAATTCTCTGATTATTCACTCTGAGAATTCAATGATCTCACATTTTTTATGCATCTGATTAGGAATGTTATATGTAAATCAGTTTTCTATTTAAAAACACGGCAATTTTTAAAAATACAACAAAATACAAACAAAATTTAAAGAGAATAATTGTTTTATATGCTATTTTTTTATTATTATAAAAATTTCTTTGTATGTGATTATTCTTTTATACTATTGAATTATTTATGTATATACAAACTATTTCAAATTCATTCCATAAATAATTGTTTTAAAACATTTATTTTGGATACAATTTTTTCAGTGTAATTAAAGAATCAATTTTATCTTCTTTTACACTTAAATATATTATTATTATAATGCTTATCTTATCATACTATAATAGAGATAAATTTAATTATGGAAATAATGTACCTGTCACAATTAAAAGACAAACATGCTAAATCAAATAATGAATTTTGTGATTTATTTATTTTTAGTTTAATGAATTATTTTTTTCCAGAAGATAATTTCTCATTCTCATTATTCATAAAAAGCAGATTTATTGTGATATAATGATTAATTATGTGATATGAAATACAAAAGACAAATATTTTAATAAATAATAAAAATTAATGCTTATCTATTTTAAATAAATATAATAAATTGTGTTAATAGTGTGCACAGATAATAAAATATTTATTTTAATTATGCAACATGAGAATCAATCAGAAATCAATGAAAAAAATTTTACATCAAGTAATAATTTTATATAACTATTAAAATTAATATTTTTTTATGCATTTTTTATGCGTAAATTTATTCAAAAGTTTTAAAATATTTAGCAAAAATCTATATAAAAATTTGTGATAATATAAAATTCAAATAAGTATTATAACAAATAATTGTCTTGTGCATACTTTTTATGTACATCCTATTTTCCTATTTTTTGTTTAAATTGTTTAATCATATTTTTATTTTTTTGTAGACTACCATTTAAAATGAATATTTGCTCATAATATTTAATAAATTTACACAAGAAAGTAAATATTTATAATATCATGGCCTAATGAAAAATTTTTTATCTATTTCATATATACTTTATTAAATTTTTACATTGAAAATTTTCATTAACTTATATCAAATAGTTTCTTTATTATTTTTTAGATTGAAGGAAAATTTTATATATAATATTTGTAATTATAACTTTAATATCTCGATTCATTATGCTTCAATTGTGCGCACTTTTTATACAATTAATTTTAAAATTCTTTTGTGTGGAAAATAAATAAATTAGAAATTATAGAATCATGAAAAAATTATTAAAAAGAAATAAATATCTAATTTATTTCTTAATAAAAATAAGATATTATAAATAATCATTTCATACACGAATTTCACACGAAAGAGTTGATTGATATTTAAAAAAACTTTTACATTTTATTTAAGCTAAATATTATTTGCATTTAACTTGCGATTACAAAGGCCTCGGAAAAGTTTAATTTTGATTTTTGATATGCTATAATAATAAGAAAAAAATTTTTATAACAATATTTGTTTTTAATATGCATTAAATATTAGCAATTATTTGCTGTGCAACAAGAACTTTTATTACAAATTAAATAATAAAATAAATAATTATTAAATTATGTATTTATACATATGTATAAATATGTATAATTGTATATAATACATATATATATATAAATCTAATAAAGTACGTAACACTAATACATATGTATAAATAATATGTATTTTGAGTCACTATTTTTTATTAGATTTAATAAAAACAAAAATATTATGTATTATGTATATCTATTTTTTTTTCAAATTTATTAGCTCTATTTATCATAAAATAAGCATAATTTTAAATAAGCATGAATAGTGAAAATCATTACTGTATAATATAAGAATATGTATAAGATTCAATGTCTCAATATACCAAAGAAAGTTTTGGATTAATTCCAATTAACAATTTACTTTTAATTACTCGATTGCAACATTGAATCTTTAATACGTATAATATAATTAAGTTAGAATTTATTTACAAGTTGCACAGCAATAAAAATTAAATGTAATAATAAATTGCTATTATATTTTTGTAAGTTATAGGAAGCGTTATCGTCATAGCGATAGCAATCGTGTATAAATTTGATATTAAATGTGGAATTTAATCCGTAAAGAACGAAGAATGAAAGAAACATTATGTTTGATTTCAAATTGCGTATTAAATCGCGTTGATTTGTATAAGGAATACGAGGTGGAAAAGGTTTATACGAAGTATTTCTTGTGTTTAAATAAATTATGATACCAAACATTTGTTTCATTTTTTTCTTAGAAAAAAATGTTAAAATTTATCAATCATTATGATTCGTGGTATGCAACAATACAAACATTAAAGCATTAAAATAAAATAATTTATTTACAGAGCGATTTACATTTCTTTTTTTTTTTTTTTATGTTTATTTAAAACTCTCATATTTCTGATATACGTGCAAGTATACTGGTGTTCCAAGCTTAATCGTATTACGACTAATTCATTCTTTCTCTAAACATTTGTACAGAATAGTTTCGCAAATGATTATATGATGCATGCGTAACACGTGTTTTACAAAATGATTCTTTTGTTACCGACTTTTCGAATTATTATATATTGGTTGATATCTATTAATATTGGAATACTTAATGCTATCATGTATCATCATAGCCATATCAATATCATGTCGAAAAAATTGTAATAAGGCACCACTATACTCCACATATAATATCAATAGTTCGTATTCGAAGTTAACTTATATTACGTTTCGTATTTTTTCGAAACGAGAGTATACTTCTTTTTATGGAGATTTGATTGGACCGATGATCGATCGAGAGAAATATTAATTCTAAATCAGTCCATGATCCGTAATGTTTGCTATTTATGTATATGAATCCATTAAATAGATACAAAACAAGGTTTATTTTCTTCTCGTACATCCATGATTACTATATATGTATGTACACGATTCTGTACAAAAGTTTAGAAAAAACATAATTTCATTGAAACTACTTGTAACAAACACAATGACCATAATGAATATGTACATTTGAAATCATTCTTACTCGTGATTTCGTTTATGAAATTCTCGGCGTCAATTATCGGCGCTAATGAATAATTTCTATCTATAAATACATTTCACAGAGCACGATGTACAAATTTCACGCGTAGTTGATACATAATTTTCTTATACTAAATGCATAAGCGAATCAAAAAGTTGATTACATTAGTTAAATAAGATTTGTTGTGCATCAATCACAATAGTGATCATATAAACTTTATATACTGCGATTATAAATATATGATTTAAAATATATTTAATTTAATTTTAAAATATATGATTTCATAACTAAATGAATATTTATACACAAATTACATACATATACATAAAAAAAACAAAATTCTCATAGAGAAAAAAAAATCAGTTCGACTATAATGTCGTATAAATGAATTCGACAGGTACTAATTTTATTTTTAGCATATTATTTCGCTTTACTTAAAAAGAAAAATATTAATTATCATACAAATTGAGTGATGTTTATCACATGATATTTTACAATTTACGACATTGTTTTGTACATTTAAAAATAAAGCAGCTATGAACACTTTAAGTGGAACACCCTGTATACTGTATGTAATTACGAAGTTTTCTTCGAATTGTTTGTCAATTTCGCTGCTTGAGTTTTATCAATATTAGAAAAATTGATTCCTATATTTAGAAAATAAATAATTTTTTTTAAATACATATAAATATCTATAATATAATATAATAAATTTACGAAAAAAAAAAAGGAAAAATAAACATAATATTTTATACAAAAAGATCTTAAATATGCTAAACATAAGATATCTTATTAAGATATCTTTATGGTGTTAATATAATAAAATAATACATAATAAGATGAATCACAGTTTGTTTTACGGCTCCTATATAATTAAAAACGATGAAAAAATGAATTTAATTTTTAATTCGTGTCTTTATAATGATCGAAATAAATTAAATATATGACTATTTTATAAACAAATAAGAATTTGCCATTTTATTGGCATATGAATAGATTTCATATAAAGCAAAATATTTTTACGAAGACTCAAATATTAATACTGTAAGGAAAAACAAAGAACTTATTTCTCTGTGCATAAATATTACTTAAAAATTATAATCTATATGATTTAAGATTTCAGAATAATAAAATAATTCAATTTATGTTCTCTTAAAGAACATATGTAATTCGTGAAGGAACTTCTTTTCACACATCGTCTAACTTAAGAATATTTTTACATTTATTTCAAAATCAGTAATATGTCACTCAACTTTCGTGTATAAAGATACTTTCAAATATAAAATTTAAACGGGAAATTTCATTATAAAATGTACAGATCAGTTTTAGCACTATTAGCAGATATATGATTTAAATGAAATGAATTTATTAATGTTGATTGTTGAGTAACTTATAACTGTTAGCATTGTATAAAGCACTACCATGAATTTATCGATTGAAATGGAATGCTAATACTATTTACAATGTTATTGACTGAATGAACAGGCACACATCTCTCTTAAAGAGTATCATACAGTTCATTGGTGTGCTTGTTCTACTTCATAGTAGACATTTTGGTATGATGCAGAAAATTTTGCATCCAAATTTTATCAAACTTTTGAAGATATGTTTCTATTAGAAATAAAGTGTTAGCCATCTAGAGGTGGTCCTAAGTATACCATAGATACTTCTGTATTTCCATATACAGCAGATACAGATGGGTATAATCTTTTGTCTGGCAATCCTATGCATTTAATCTTTCATTAATATCAAAAAAATTGTTTTTTTTTTTTTTTTTTTTTAATTTATTTTTAACTAGGAAACATTGAGATACAATACCTCTAAATGCCACTCCCAAAAATTCATAATTTCTTTCAAAAGATAATGTATTATCATCACAATCTAATATTACCCTAATTCTTTCCCCAACCTGATAATTATAAAATTATATTGTTTATTTTAAGGAATGTCCCTTTACCTATATAAAAAGTTATATCATAAAAATTGTAATATACCTGATATTTTGGAGCATTGTTAAGTAAAGGATAATTTCCTTGTACATTTCCATTGTGTAGTAGATGATTATCTACAAGATTCCATCCCCATGAGTGCTCATCAGAACCAACTAATGCTACATATCCATGACATAATAAAGGTGCTTCTCTTGTAGCTATTCCTATTACTGCCACTGTGCCCAGAGGTCCTTCCCAAATAACTTCCCAGGCATGACGTCCATGTCGAAAACCAATTTTACCTCTACAGGCATCTGTGCTTTGAGCAACTGGATTCCTATAACTCAAGTAGTAAAGATTCAAGCACTCACTTAACATTTATTACATAAAAAACACACTTAACACCGAAAATTTATTATTTTATATTTAAATAATTAATTTTTATTATGAAGCAGTTGAACTTTCAATATTATTCGAAGATTTCAATATTAAAATATTTAAAATATTTTTAATTTCTCGATTATATACATATAACAGAAAAAATTTGACACTGTACAACGATCCAAATTAAAATGTAAATTACACACAGAAATGACAGAATCCAAGGTGCTACCTGTGCATAGTGAATCCATTGGGCCTAATATAAATATTACGAGAGCAGTCATTAGGATTCCATGCATGATAAAATGCACGGAGCTTTGATTTATAAGTAGGCACCGATGATAATAAATCGGAACTAAGTGCTTCTTGGGCTAACTTTCTGATGCAATGCATTCTCCACGCATCATTATTCTCATCATTTAAGAAACGATTCCATCGCTTGCACACTAACGAACAGTTTCTCAACGTATGCAAGTCTAAATAAGAAAAAATCACTTCTAAAACATGATCAGATACTCGGAGTGCTATATCGTCCATTTTGCCGGTTCTGATAGAGTAAACGAGCAAAACATACACGCGCAGAAACGCCGCGCGATATGTAGCTATATTGAACGTTAGGAATAGTTTCCATGAAATAAGCATAAAAAATATATATACTAGATAAGCAATATCTATTTCAATTTAGGATATAAGTTTTCTTTCTTATATTCAATATTTCATGGTTTATTAGCAGAAGTAGTTTTTCAATTCACATGTATGTGTATGTTTTTATTGCATCAAGAGGTTATAGTCATTTTAAGGTTACAATCAGTTATTTTTATTTAATCTGAAATGGAACAAAATTCTACTGTTTCTTTTATAAGTACTCCTGGCTTTTGTTCTGATTGTGGATCAATTTTACCATTGTTAGGTGATAAAGGAAATGTAACATGTTATGCTTGCAAAAGGGTATGGGGTCCTGAAGGTATTTATTATTTATTTACAATTTTTGCTTTTATTCTTTTAAATTTCTTTTGTTTCACTAAAAAAATCAAATTATTAAAATTAAAAATGAAAATTATTTACTGTATTAAATAATTTTAAAGAATTATTTTTAAATAATAAATTTTTATTATTAGCTTTTGGAGATATGTCAATGTCTTATACTATTCATTTTAATAAAACAAATGTTTATGCTCTATCAAAACAAAATGACGAAAAAGAAGAAGCAGAAGGACCAATTGTTGAAAGAAAATGTCCTCAATGTCAAAATGATAAAATGTCATACGCTACATTGCAATTGAGATCAGCAGATGAAGGACAAACAGTATTTTATACATGTACTAAGTGCAAGTATGTTTTTTTAATATTATTTAAGCATAAAAAATAATTTTTGAAAAAAGAATTTTTTTATGAATATGATTTTTTGCAAGAAGAAATGTTTAAATATATTTTTTTTCAGATTTAAAGAGACAGAGAATTCATAATATAAATTTTTATTGTACATTTTAATTTGTACATTCCTTATTTAATTGATTGGTAAATAATCATCAAAACATAACACTCTGTGTTAATAAAACATAGAACTTTATTCATAATACACTTAACAAATATCAATGAATAGATAATAATAATAATAATAATAGTAATAATAATAATCATTATTATAATAATTTCATATAATACTGTTAATTTATCATTACATTCTTTGTAATTATGCATGGTTGAAAATTTTGTAATAATGTATTTTTATTGTATATATTTGATTAAATATTTTGTACAATATATTGGAATAAAAGATTAACAATTAGTTTGAGAAATTCCTATTAATCTGTCTTTGAAACCATTATAGTAGTCCTTTCATTATAAAATTTTCGTATTTAAAGTACATTGGTTAAACTACCGGGGTAGACTTAAATGTTAAATATTAATCGCGATAATGTTTTTATATTTCCTTTAATAGTAAAGAGAAATATATGCTCTATTGAGGAATTTTTTAACAACCAGTCCAGCAACTTAATTATATATACAATAGATGTTTTACACTATAATAGTATTAAACAGGCTTCTTTATTCTAACATTAATAAAATTAACAAAGAATCAATAATGTTCTTTTACTTATAGATACATTCAATTAATATCAACTTATATTTTAAATATTGAAATAATATTTTTGTAACGTAGAACATATATAATAATTGTAGCTTAAATATCATGTTATTAATGTAAAAAAAAAAAAGCGAAAATAATCTCTTGCATAAAACCTATACCATACCACCAAGTTTTGAAATTAAAAAAAAAAAAAGTAAAAGTATTGAATATTGAATATGCGATCAACATTGGATTTTTCTTTCTTTCAGAGATAAACAATATCCGAGCCGAATATTTATTTTTATTTTTCATAAAACACTCCCTAGAGAGTTTAATTATATACTTCATTTCACATAATTCTCACTTGCCTCGCATATAACGCTTGAAACGAAAGAGGAACATGTCTTATAAATTCGTAATTGAACGTACGAATTTTTATCGTTATAATATTTAATAACATTTGTTTATTAACAATATAATATATCTCACAAAAAACATTCGTCTTATTCTCGATATTTTTGAATTATCGGCGATTATACAACGCATTGCATCTGTCATTTCACGAAGCTTACTTTTAAAAAATGTTTTCACGAGATGCAATTATACGTTGGCTTATTTATTCATAAGAGGGCTAGAAATTTATTTTTTTCGAGCCCATTAGGCCTTCGATAAACGATCTAGTCTCTCTCAAAAAAATAGATTAAAAAAATTCTCCAATTCTAGATTTCTTAACAATCAAAAATTACATTCGACCCAAACGATTCGCAAATAGGTATAAATATATCCTCTAAATAATTAATTCCTATATTCGATCTTCGATTACAATACATATTTTTATATTTCGATTACAAATATATGAAATTTTTCTTCGTTATTAATCACGAAGAATCGAAAGAAGAACGATATCTTTCAAATTTATTACTTTATTATTTTATCAAATTTATTATTACGTTTGAATCGAATGTATTTAATTATTTTTTTCCTTTTTTTTTTTCCTTTTTCAATTATGTACACTAACGCTTCATATTACATATTGTACATCGAATATGTACAAGTGGCAAGGTATTTACAAGTGGAATGTGAGGCAGGTGGCGCAAAGGATCTAGATTGTCATTTTCCCTCGACGCTGTGATCATGAAGCTTCGTAACATTCGTCCAAGAAATTTTCCAACGAGTGATAAAGATGAGCTCGTGATTGAGCGATCCCATGATCCTCGTCCGTGTATGTCTGTAAAAGAAAAAAAAAAAAAAATTAAATTTTTATTCTTTCTACGGCGAATAATCTTTTTTATAAATGTTTTTAATCTCACTTGAATGTCATTAACGCGATAAAATAATACAAACGATCTGTTTATTTGAAGGGAGCAAATAATGTCGATTGCAATGAAAACACAACTGTAATTGTCATTTAAATAAAAGTGTTTCACGCGAAACTTAAGCGAAACAGTGGGAATTTATTCATACGGAATAAAATTGTTCTTCGCATGCGCTTTGTAGATTTTAATCGTGAATATTAAACTCCATGAACCGGGCAAAAAGCACGTAGATGAATGCTAAGCATAATAATTTCGTAAGCTTTTTGAAATAATACGGAAGCGAAATGACACGTTCCTGTCTTTTTTTTTCTTTTTTAATGTATATCTATCTTTCGCTCATTTTCAGAAATAAACGAAATTTCTCGGTAAAATAACAAAGAAATAAAGTGCAATAAATCAATTATCGGAAGATAAATCTCTCGAATACCGTACCTGTTGCCTGAACAGAATATCCTTTTGCTCAAGAACCTTGGCGAGCAACAAAGATTGCTGATAGTGCACGTTATCGTCCAGAGTGCCGTGGATCAAGTAATACATCTTTGTTTTAATGTTATCCACTTTGTTCAATAGTTGACCTTGCTCGTAACCGTGCAAGTTGTCGGAAGGCAGGCCCATGAATCGTTCCGTGTATATCGAATCTGTAATCGATCATCGAATTTTTCTATTTTTTTTTTCATTATTTTCAAAATAAATTCCAATCATTTTACAGTGTTATAGAATTGGTATTTTCTTTTGTTTTATGCATGCATTTATGGATTATATATACAGGAATGTTAATATATCGATAGGATAGGCAATTCTTCAATTGATCATAAATTAAGCTCAATAGATATCTTCACATATTAACTAATTTTTCTTTGTTTTAATAGAATCGATCTTTCAGAAATATCACACGAATAAATTAACACTTTACTACACGTGTATTGGATTTATCGTCGAAAAGAAAAATTCGTCTCAAAGTGTTTCACAGTTAAAAAATATCCGTGAGCAAATATTTCTACGATATTAATAATTTTAAAATTCCATTGTAATAAAAAATTTAACGTTGGGAATATAAGTGACAGCAATCTACGAGTTTTTCAGCAGTTTAATTAAAAATATCCAAAGGAAAATCTCGTTGAGAGGAGATTCTTTTTGCCACAGAGTGCAACAAACAAAACGACACGTTTCGCGCGTAATCGCGCCTGTGAATTACATCCGGCATGTCACTTAATTAATCCGCGAGGTTGTCTGGAAATTGCTTCATGCGTATAGCGCTACTGTACACGGTATTAATTATTTCGAAACTACAAAAATTCGTCGAACTTAAAAATCGAAAGATTAAAAATAGAATTATTCCCTTGCGATAAATTCTGAAAAATTATTTACTGTCACTTGTACCGCTTTAAAGTAAATTTACATTTTAACTTTTAAATCGGCAATTATCGTTGCATGCAGAAAGATATCGTGCACGAAAAATAAAAATAATCCACGATTCAAGATACCAGCCACTGCGTAAAACGTTTATTTATTTTATTCCAATATATCAATGGTATTAAAAAATATTGGTAATATTATAATATCATTATGTCGAAAGATTGAAAAATAAGTTTAATCCGGAAAAGATCTACGATTTATTTCTTACAAAAATATTTTTCCAAAAAATAATTTTTTCTGGGTTCGAAGAATTTCCACGTTAAATTCTAAAAGAAATAAAGAAACGTTGGAAAAATCAAAGAATTCTCAGGGGAAATCTTCGAAATTAATCATGCGAAAAATAATTGAATCGTTCAATGACCTACGAATAGACCCATTTAATAGAACATTTGCGCTCGATGATTTATAGCGGTGAAGTGCGGTAACAGCATTTTCTTCCGTTAACTGTTGCGGAGGAACCGTTCGTTTCCGGTTACGATCGCTCGACCAACATTTTCGATTCGATTTCGCATGGAATTCAATTCCAGGAACAATAGTTTTTGCGTTCAACGTTGTATATACTATATATATATATATATTTTTCTTCTTTTATTACGATTGGTTAAGCGAAGTCAAGCGAAATGAAGCAATAATGCGAATTGAAAATTCTTTCCGGAAATGGAAATGTTTACAATGAAGAGGAGTGTTTGTTTCTCCCGTATCGATTAAATTTTTGATGAGTTATGAGAATTTTTTCTCCAATCGAATATACATTCATCGATATCGCATTAATGATCTTTAATTAGCGCGTGGGTGTAAATTATCTCGTCCCGAGAAATTATATTATAATTATCATTCCAATACATATTTACTGCATCGATATACTGATAATTAATGTACAAATAATGAATTTATTATTTTCGCATGCATCGTTATACATATGTTCTCTATCTATATATTTGTTTATTATTTGCAGTAATTTTATTAAATTTAATTCGATAAAAAAAAAAGGGAAAAGAAAATGAAGTGACAAAGAAATATTTAAATAAAAAAAATAAGAGAGAGAGATAATTGATGTTACATTTCATTTCATTTTTATTTACATGCATATCATATAATGATCAGTGATTAATACATTTATTAATATGAGTATACATGTATTGAAATTATATCCATGTGAAATTAAAATTCACATGTAAACATATAGTGTTTTATTTTGTATTATTGATCCTTTAAACAGTCAAATATATCATGATAAAAAAAATTGTATAGTGGAAACATATATACATGCATCATATTGTATATTATTAAAATTTTTATATATAATTTTATTTAATGTAGATTATTATTATACTCAATTAGAGAAATATAATATAAATGATATAAAAAGAACACAAGATTAATATATTGATGCTTGAATATATAATATAATATAATATAATAATAACAAAGACATGTTTGATGTATACATTTAAAATGAATTATATAGAATAACATATAATATATTTTGATTGATAAATATTATATAATTGATTTATTTAACCGTTTATTTTGATATAAGAAGATTGATATATCAAGCTCGCTTGATCTCTAAAATTTATCTCCAAAAGCATTGAAATATTTGTATCCAAAAATTTCAATAAACGCGTATATATTATGTATTACAATCCATGTATTTCGATATACACGATATTGTATCTTTAATATATTCAAATATGACTTCCAATATCTATAAAAAAAAAAAAAAAAAAAATGACAATTTTTATAAAAAAAAAAAGAACATAAACAATCATCAATCATCTATAAAAGTGAAAACTCTTCGTTCAACAAAAAATAGAAGAAAGCATCGAGAAAGAAGAAAGAAGAACGCAACAACAATCGATATCTATAAAGACGATATCTTCATTCAAGAAGAAATGTTCGCGTTAAAAATGTGCATCGACGAGGAAGATGGAGCATTCCTCGTTGCGATAAGGACGATTCCGAACGATGATTCCTCGACGAGGAAATAAATCTGATATCTTGAAACGCGAGCGTAGCCAGTTGCGACAAGACCTCGACAATAATTGAATCGATCGAGGCTGAAACGAACCGAGTCCAACTTCTCGTCTCTCCCTCCTGTTCGATACTTGCTCCTCCTCGATACTTACACTTCCACCATGCAAATCATCGTGACCAAGCTGGTGTATCAGAAATCGAACATTTTCCATCTTGTGATTAATTCAAAGTTTCATTTCGATAAACGGTACGTTTAATCGTTTCAATGATCGGTTAAATATTAAATATGTGATTGGAAATAACGTTTGCTCAAAGGTTAACGACACATTCCACTTATTCCTCGGATATAAACATCCGTGCAGAGGGAATTTCGCAAGATTGAACGGAAGGTTTAGCAAGGTTTGCAGTTCAAATCGAATGGCGGGATGCGGCGACCAAATGAAGGATAATATTCTTCGATAAATTAAACGATAAATCGAGCTTGTATATCGGAAAGAACGAGATCAAAATTTTTGCCGAGCATTGTTGAATTTCTTTCGAAACAAATCTCGATTTTCGTCTTCAACCAAGGATATAAATTTAACGGATATATAAAAATGGCTGAAGATGCGAAAATATAAAAGATAGATAAAGTAGGATGTTGAATTGAATGTTAAATATTCGGCAAAGTAAAGGATAAAAGAAACAATAAAATAACGATAAAGTATGCGGTATTCAACCGGATGAAAATATTATCTCTAGACGTACCGTAAAGAGCCCAATCTGTTACAGGTGCCACGGACATGCCGCACTTGAAGACTCCGTGATAATCCATGGCGAGCGTCATTCCCGTCGCGTATCCACCATAACTCCAACCCCATATCGCCGTCCTGGTACGGTCGATGAATGGAAGCTTGTCTTGCAAGTACCTGCAATCGACGGGAAAATCGTCCATGACGTTAAATCGTTCGTTGATAAAACCGATGAAAAACGTCGAAATTATTAAAATCCTTGATCCCCTTAATTTGTACGTTTAACGATAAACATTTACCCGTTTTGAATCAATATTACCAAAGCGCGTTTATTTATCCGATTTCAAAATCAAACAAAAATGAAATGGATAAACAGAAAAAAAAAAAAAATTCGAAAAGTAAATATCATCGAGTGAAATAGTTGGTTTTGATGTCGCAGTGGTATGTAATCCGGTACAGCGCCATCTTATGACGTCATATTTCGTATATATCGATATAGTAGATAGACGCGCGTCGATCGAGCCACTTAACCTAACCTCTCTCTTTCAAGTATTCTTTCTCTAACTTCCTTAATCCATTTATCCACGAATTTTATCAAATTCTCCTTGATAAATGCGGAAGCGGATGCCTCTCTGTAGTCGATCAGCCGGTCTTCCTTAGATCAAATTCCTAGATCCATCTTCCTTATCGAAGAAACGTCCGCGAAATCTTGGCCGGGATTTCCATACGTTGGATGCGGTTACAAAAATTGGCTCCGTGTTTTACAAGTTCTCCCGGGCGAGAACAGCCACTCGATCCGCCGGTGTATCTATTTTTCAACCGTGCCAGGAACACGGGGATCCCCTTTCACTCCGAGCGAAATCCATCTTCCTTGAATGCGAGGACACTCGGATCGGGATGCATAAATGCATCTGATGGACGAGAACACTATTCATTTTATCCGGTTATCCTTTAAAAAATGATTTTTACCATTTTGTTCTGGCAAAGGTCTCAAATTTTTGAACATACGTTTCTTTTCTCCTATCTCTTTCCATCCATTTTTTGCTGACAAATCGATCTTCACAGTCCTCGAGATAGCTTAATGGCCATTTAGATACAGATATTTTTCTCGTGTAGAAATTTCTCGACGCGTTGAACGTACTCTCTGACGTGATCATACATGCGATGTTTGTTGATGGAAAACAAGTTTATGAAAAAGAGGAGGAAGAAGGTGGAGCAAGTCCTTTGCAAAGCCTCTTAGAAGCGGTCTAATGGTTGTTCCACGAATAATGTGAAAAATATACGATTTCTTGGAACCTTTGTCATGGAAACAAATTAATAACGTTGAAATATTTTTTATGATTCTAAAATTGTTTTCTTACATTAACTCTCAAATATAATTAACTAATTGCCTCTGACCATATTATTATGTGAATTTTACAATGATTAAGAATTTTTTCATTTGCTATTTCATCAACTTGTATTTTTGATATCTAAATTTTTTTTTTTATCTAAATATTTTTTATATACACTTTTATTTAAAACAATTAATATACAAAAGCAAATACTGAGGAATCTATTCATAATAACGAATCAATACAATTTTTAATAGTTTCAGCAATTTTAAACAATTAATAACCTAATCTAACTTAATCCTATTTGACTGACATATATTTTTTAACTGAAGCATACATTTTACTAATATTTCTAATTAAAATATTTAGCATCTAAACAGAACGAAAAAATATTAACAATTATCTAATCTATCTCGTTTTTTTTTCGCAGTTATTATTACTTTTCTATTCACAACTGTAAACGGTGTCCAGCTAAACTTTTCCCGTTGATTGCAAATTTATAATCCTATTTGAAGGTACGTACACATTTTAATAATATTTCTAATTAAAATATCCACATATTTAGCATCGAAAGAGAACGAAAAAATATTAACAACTATCTAATCTATCTCGTTTTACATATTTTTATGCAGTTTACTATCTTTCTATTCACAACATAGATCAACTCCTGGAAATTATAAACGGTATCTAGCCAGTTTTTCGTCGATTTCAAATTTATAATTCTACTTGATTGATATATATTTTAACTGAAGGTACGTACACATCATATTAATATTTTTAATTAAAATATCCACATATTTGACATCGAAACAGAACGAAAATATAACTATCTAATCTATCTCGTTTTATATATTTTTTCGCAGTTTCTATTCACCTTTCTATTCAATCGGTCAACATAAACTCCTGGAAACTATAAACGGCATCTAGCCAAAATTCTCCCGTCGATTGCAAATCTATAATTCTACTTGACTAATATATATTTTAACTGAAAGTACGTACACATTTTATTAATATTTTTAATTAAAATATCCACATATTTAACATCGAAACAGAACGAAAATATAACTATCTAATCTATATATTTTTCGCAGTTTCTATTCACCTTATACTACCTTTTTATTCACAATCGGTCAACATAAACTCCTGGAAACTATAAACGGCGTCCAGCCAAAATTCTCCCGCCAATTGAAAATCTATAGTCCTATTTGACTAAGATATATTTTTTGACTGAAGATATGTACACATTTTACTAATATTTCTAATTAAAATATTTAGTATCGAAAGAGAACAAAAAAATATTAACAACTCGTTTTATATATTTTTTCGCAGTTTACTTTCTATTCACCTTTCTATTCAATCGGTCAACATAAACTCCTGGAAACTATAAACAGCATCCAGCCAAAATTCTCCCATCGATTACAAATCTATAGTCCTATTTAACTGACATATATTTTTTAACTGAAGGTACGTACGCATTTTATTAATAATTCTAATTAAAAAATATATATATATCCACATATTTAGCATCGAAAGAGAACGAAAAAAATATTAACAATTATCTAATTTATCTTGTTTTACATATTTTTTTTTTGCAGTTTACTACCTTCCTATTCACAACATAGATCAACTCCTGGAAACTATAAACGGCGTCTAGCCAAAGTTTTTCGTCGATTACAAATCGTTTAATAAATAAAATCTATAATTCTACTTGACTGATATATATTTTAACTGAAGGTACGTACACATTTTACTAATATTTTTAATTAAAATATCCACATATTTAACATCGAAACAGAACGAAAATATAATTATCTAATCTATATATTTTTCGCAGTTTCTATTCACCTTATACTACCTTTCTATTCACAATTGGTCAACATAAACTCCTGGAAACTATAAACGGCATCCAGGCAAAATTCTCCCATCGATTACAAATCTATAGTCCTATTTAACTGACATATATTTTTTGACTGAAGGTACGTACGCATTTTATTAATAATTTTAATCAAAAAAATATATATATCCACATATTTAGCATCGAAAGAGAATGAAAAAAATATTAACTATCTAATCTGTCTCGTTTTACATATTTTTTCGCAGTTTCTATTCACCTTTCTATTCAATCGGTCAACATAAACTCCTGGAAACTATAAACGGCGTCCAGCCAAAGTTCTCCTGCTGATTGCAAATCTATAATTCTACTTGACTGATATATATTTTAACTAAAGGTACGTACACATTTTATTAATATTTTTAATTAAAATATCCACATATTTAACATCGAAACAGAACGAAAAAATATTAACTATCTAATCTGTCTCGTTTTACATATTTTTTCGCAGTTTCTATTCACCTTTCTATTCAATCGGTCAACATAAACTCCTGGAAACTATAAACGGCGTCCAGCCAAACTTCTCCCTCCGATTGCGAATCTATTAATAGCGGAACAGGGGATCTGAAGTTGGCACCCTTAACTTATATAACAATTATATCCCCCGGATCAAGACTCGAAACGTGGAGGCGATACGGGAAGGCTCCGCGGAAGCTTTGCCGGGATAAAGGATGGACGGGACATCCCAAACCCTGTTAGTTCCCAAGTAGAATATCCTGTCGCCAATCAACGCAACAGTCTCCCCTTTAAAGTCTCCCCCCACAGTCTCGCATGGCCCCAGGGTACGAAAAGCGAGGGATGCCGGCCAGAAATCAGAGGGTTAGTACCAGATGCCTCGGCCCGGTTTCCCAAAGGACTATGACCCGCCAGGACCTTAAACTCCGCCCTGATCCACCCCCTCCCTCCCTCCGCACTGCGTCATTCCGGCTACAACTGGGTTAGTTCCGGCTCAAATCAAAGTTATGCCGGATATTTCGCGTACGCCTGTCCACTGTGCGCGATGTGTGGAAGATCGAACTTGGATCTCGAAGATGGATCGCTCCGCATCTTGATCTTCGCCCTTTTGGAAACGATCCAAACCCAGTTGTTATTCCCCGTTGTTATGCATGGGAAATGATATGTGAACAGTATTGGAAAGTATATATACAGTTCTTGTGTACTGGTTCTAGATTGTTAAGTATTTTGATTGGTGAAGAGCGAGGTTTTCAGGTTTTGATTCATTTTGGAAAGAGAGTTTTCTTCTTTTCAGGGGGATAATAATATTTTAGGCGTGATGTATGGTATTGTTCAGTTTGATTTATGATTTTTTTTCATCTTTTAGAAAGGTATCTCTCTGATACTGTTTTGTTTCTTGCAGGGGATTTGTTGGATCGAAAAGGATGATGCGTGGCTTGAAGGGATAAGATGAGAAGAGCTGGACGATTCCAACAAACCCAAATCCTGTAATTTTTGTCGTGTATGAGCCTTTGCTTTTACGATGCATATTCGATACATTTCGTTCCTTGAAAGTTCATAAATTCAATATAATGTTAACTTTTAATAAAAATTACGAATTTTTTGATTAATTCAATAATTTCTTTTTATTATAGAAATATACTATTAGTTAAAAGTATTTTGATATATGTGGATTGGATAAAAGAAATAAAAATTTTTAAATATATTCAGTGATTGAATAATATAAAGGTAAGAAAAAATTAAAAAATTGAGAGAAGATGCTTGTAATATTTTTAAATAAGATGATTTTACAAATGTGTAAAACCATTCAGAATTTATGATTTTAATATGTAAATATTGTATCATTTAATATGTATTAAATATATTGTTAAATAACGTTTGTCACACGTCAATTCAAAACTCGAAATCAGTTAAATACATTTTGAATATTGTTTTATTAATTATTTTATTATGAAAGAGTAAATTGTATATTATGATAAAATGTGATTCGACGTTAAATCCAAAATAATAATGAATTTGTTATACAAATATTTTGAACATAACGCGTAAAAGTTAATAATTTCGAAAAGGTTATATTAAAAGAACAAACGATCTGTCATTCATGTTGAAAATATAAATTGGAAAATATTAATAGTAAAAAATAAATAAATTAATTAATTGGAATATTAATCGTAATAATTTATATAAATAATTAATTAAGATTTTAATTGCAGTAATTTTAACCTCGTTGACGAGATATCAATATTGAATTTGTCGTATTAAATTTTTTAATTAATATTTTTAATAAGTTCCAAAACGATTGAAATCGTTCATTTTATCTGTAATATAGATAGATATTTTAATATATCATTGAATATAAATTTCTTTTTAATTCTTTCTTTTTTTTAAATATCAATTAGGAAATTTAAAAACCAAACAAGTAAAAAAAAAAAATTGCTTTTTCTCTATATTTTATCTATTTTATCTTTTTGTCTGTTTGATATCCTTTATCTATACGAATATTAAAATTATTTTATAATAGAATAATAGAAGGATAATTACTTAGGTAAAATGAACTTCACATAGTTTCGAATATTTAACAAAGAAAAGATATAACGACAAATGATAAAAATAGAGATTTTATTTCATATTTCTATGCCTTTATATCTTAAAATCATTTATAAAAAGGAACCTTTACGTAAAAAAATGAAATTCTTCTCTCCGAATCTTTCGCGCAAAAATAAAAATAAACTTCGTCATCTATTTTTCTGTTTATATAAAATCTTTCTTATAAAATGATTTTAATTCTATTTTAAATATAAATATAATATATATATAATATATATATATTTATATAAATAATTATATAAATATAACATAATTAATATAAATAGACACAGAAAAATATAAATAAATATTTCTATCAAGCAGCGTTAAATTTTAAAAAATTGAAAGAGATAAAGGATGAAAAACGATTAGAAAAAGGAAAGGAAAAAAAAAAAAAAAATTGTACACAGTATCGCGATTCAAACGAAATCCAAAAGATGACCAGAGAGGGGGGAGTATCGCGATAGATTTCCGCTCGGTCAACCGGAAGACGAATTCGACATCGGCGTAGAAAATACGAGAAAGAGGCAAAAGGGAGCCAGGCTCCTTCCAATCTTTGCCACAGCCATTGTCTCGCGTCGAGTCTCGCGTGCTCGATAATAATGGTTCCGCAGGGAACGAAAGGCCACACGGTTACCCATAGAGAAATAGCAGCGTGGCCCTCACCAAGCGAATTCCTTTTTTCGCGAAATTTATTTACCTCGTAAATCGACCAACCAGCCAACCTCCTCCGTTGAATTCTATTCCTTTGGATTTGGCTATTTTTTTCTCTTTTTCTCTCCCTCTCTTTCCCTCTCTCTTTCCTCCTCCTCCAGTTTCCTTTCCACCCATCTCGAGCATCGATCTCTTAGAATTTCATTTTTCGAACGAAGCACGAGGCCGCATTGTTTTCGATCCACACCTTTAACGAACCACTCGTAAACAGGGCCACGCTCCACTTTACTGCACCGCGACTCTCGATCGATCTTATGCGCTTCCGTGTGTCGTGTCACTCTTCGAAGTGAAATGGACCAGAAAATTTTGAGCATCTTTCGAAGAATCGATGGGGCAAACGAAGGGAGGGATTATTCTTTGCGAGAGAAATTTGTAGAATGATGGATGAGGCTAAGATATTATTAGGTATAAAATGGGCAAGTGTGTTTAGTGTTAAATTGTTAAGAAATAAATATGGAGTCGAATAGAGGAAAAATATATAGTACAATACAGTCGAGGAGTCGTGTAATAAAATTGTAATGAATTTTTCATTTTTATTCCATTTTTCTTGAAAATTAATGTTTAAATTAAAAATCTTTATATAGGAATTTAATTTAAATTCTTAAATTCTTAAATAAATTCTTAAATAAATAATAATAATTTAAATTCTAATTTAATTTTTAATTTAATTTCACGTGTATTTGAAAAATTTTCAAACTTGATTTACTTCGATTTATTTCGAGCCATAGAAATTTCATTTGTTAAATGAATTATGGAATTATGTGTCGTCGAATTATTGTGTACACGATATTGCCGTTGATATAAAGTAACAAAAATGATATTGAAGATAATCGAAATTCTTTGAATTTTTAAAATGAGATCAGAAGAAAAAGGAAGACAAATTTTTTTAATTAATCGTAGATATAAGTATATTGTTATATAAGTTTCTTCAAACTTGCCATTTCTGGTCACACCTAGCAGGCATGATCGAGGAGAATCGTTACTTTAAGGTGGAAAAGTGGTTTGAAGTTTAATCAAAGTTTCGAAATCTCAGTTGCTCTTGTTTCCAATGTCGACGTATCGAAACCTTTATTCTCAAGCTGACGAACGAATAAACGAGAAAGTTTTCATTTTTTGGATCCCTTAATTGTGATTTCCCAATCGCGATTTATCTCGTATGAAAAATAAATTTCGAGAGAAGATTTGAATCGTCCATAATTAACACGAAAAATCTCACGATTATTTCTCGAAATGAAACGCGAAATTTCAAAATTTTCTCGAATCCCTTCACATTTATTCGTTATTAAATCTATCTTTATTTAATTATTTTTTTCGCAAAGCGTACGTTTCTCTTATTCGTTTCCATTATTCTACTATTATCAGCAATATTATTATCATCCCACGTATTTCGTACGCAGATATTTATCATTATTCCGTAATACGATCCATTTTATTTCATTTCATCATTCCTTTTCGATTTATTTCTATTTCCATCGAATGGTTTCATTGTAGCGCGATTTTGTCAAAGGCCCCTCTCGAAAAGAAACGAGATAAAAAAAAAAAAAAAACGCAATCGCGTGGAGAGTCAATGGCGATCGTCAAAACATCGGCCAACAAGGGTTAAGTTTGTTTCCATTCCATTTTTATTTTCTCGTGCCTCCTCTTTTTTTCGGTTTTTCCCCACTAGTTTCCACTACTCCTCTCCCCCTCATTCTTCTTTGTCAACTTGTTTTTCACGGACTCGTGCATTTTGTTTCTTTTTCTCTCTTTTCCTCTCCTTTTTTCTTTCTTTTTTTTCTTTTTTC